GCCGCCGCCGAGCCATCAGCGGCAGCACCCTTCGGCAATGGAAGGCCGCCACGACCATAGCCGTCGTAAGGCCACGGTCCCGCAGCCTCTCCAGGCCCTCCAGAAGCGGCTGCAGCTTGGGCTGATCCTCCCTCGGGAGGCCATACCTCCACTTCTCCGGACAGTCCTCCATGATCCGCCCGGTGTAGGGGGGAGTCCGCTATCATTGTTGCGGAGGTAGAACCAGCTGGTGTACCAGCGGCGATTGGTTGACGCGAGCTGGGCCGGGATGTAAAGTTGTTGCCGATCTTGGCGCACCTAGAGAGTGCAGCCGCCAGCCCTCATCATCTTCCTCGTACCCGCCGTGCCTGTCAGCTTGGTGGTATGCCCCGCTCGAAAGAGATGGAGCCATAGCTCCCAATGAGGGGCAATCCCCAGATACCCCTCACAGACGGCGACGAAGATGGCCGCCTACGCGATGGAGTTGGGGTTGAAGTTGTGTAGCTCCACCCCGTAGTAATGCGGGAGCGCCTGCATGAATCGGTCCGCCGGCACGCCGAGACCACGCTCGTGGAAAGATACGAAGCTCACGACGTACCCAACGGAGCAATCCACTCCGGCCTATCGGGGTCGGTGATCGGACGGAGAAGGCCGTCGTTGACGAGCGACTGCAGCACCTCCACGGACACGTCGGACGGCTCCTAAGGATCCGCCGGGAGGATGACAGGGCCGCCGGCCATTGCGCGAGGGGGGGATGCTGCTATGGCAGTAAGTCTCTCTCCCTCGCTCGCTCTTCCTCTCTCCCTCGCCCTTCTCCCTTCTTCTCCCCGGTGCTCCCTGTTCTTAGCAATGGCTCAGAGGCAGACAAGACAAGTGCAGGCAAGGTAAGGAGGGGAGGGGCGAGGCTCGTTATGTATTAATGCAGGAAGGGGATGAAACGGACGGGTGACGAAACCGAGGAAGTTTCCCTCAAATCTGGCACAGTTAATCCAGATCCGATTCTACCGCCCACGCGCCCACCTTTTCCTCATTAATCGCACGAACGGTTATGTCCTGTCCGCTGACACCACGTTGCATCCAACCGCAGCAACAGCAAGCCCCGAGAAACCGCCTCAAAAGGCGCGCCTGCCGTTGTCAGTCGATGGGAGGGGAATATTCCCCCAGCCGATTCCTTCCAGACTAAGGAACTGGGCGCCGAGCCCGTTATGGTCCAGGGGTTCGAAAGCTGGGCCCCCGAGGGTTTCGACAGCCGCCCCAGGACAACAGAGTCAGGGACAACTATGGGCGAGCCCGTACATGGCCGAGGCCTGAGCAAGCGATCGCTCGGGATGCCCTAAGTCGTGTCCGAGACCAGCAACGAGTTCTCCGAATGGGATCCCACCGTAGGGAGGCGCCGAGCCCCTGGGGCCGATCGAACGGCCCTGGGACCCACTAGAGAAGCCCTCTGGTACTTTTTGGAGTGCGTCTCTGGACCGCTAGCCGACCCTAATCGAATGGGCATGGGCCTCCACTTGGACTTACCGATAACAGCTCACTGGAAGTGTCACCGCTCGCGCCCACCAAGGGTAGCTTGGCATATTCCACCCCTCCTTCCAAACGAAAAGGATGCGCGAGGGTCACATAAAAGCCAGGGGAACTCCTGATCGCCCTCTCGCTCCGTGTGGAGGCTTGGGGGCTCTCCCTGCAAACTTGCCGAGACCCAGCGACCCAGGCTCGTACTCGATGGGCTCGGCAAACAACCCCTCCTTCCGAATGAAAAGGATGCGCGAGGGTCGCATAAAAAGCCAGGGGAACTCCTGATCGCCCTCTCGCTCCATGCGGAGGCTCGGGGGCTCTTCCTGTGAACTTGCCGAGACCCAGCGACCCAGGATCGCACTCGATGGGCTCGGCAAACAACCCCTCCTTCCGAACGAAAAGGATGCGCGAGGGTCGCATAAAAAGCCAGGGGAACAACTGATCGCCCTCTCGCTCCGTGCGGAGGCTCGGGGACTCTTCCTGTAAACCTGTCGAGACCCAGCGACCCAGGATCGCACTCAATGGGCTCGGCAAACAACCCCTTCTTCCGAACGAAAAGGATGCGCGAGGATCGCATAAAAAGCCAGGGGAACTCCTGATCGCCCTCTCGCTCCGTGCGGAGGCTCGGGGACTCTTCCTGCAAACCTGCCGAGACCCAGCGACCCAGGCTCGCACTCGATGGGCTCAGCAAACAACCCCTCCTTCCGAACGAAAAGAATGCGCGAGGGTCGTATAAAAAGCCAGGGGAACTCCTGACCGCCCTCTCGCTCCGTGCGGAGGCTCGGGGGCTCTTCCTGCACCCAGAACGAAAACAAGCCACCCAAACTCGCACTCATGGGCCCGGCAAACGTGATAAGCCTCCTCGCTCAATAGGAACAAAGCCCCTGGAGGAGTAAATCCACTCCTCCATGGCCTCGGGGGCTACACCCGGCGGGTGCGCTCGCGCGCACCCACCGGAACAACGAGAACAAAACACAATCCCGACGGGAGCCGCTGCAAGACAGAATCTCGACAAAACCTCAGGGAGAGTGCTCGCACTCTCCCCGAGGCTCGGGGGCTACTATTGGATACCATAAAAAGGGGATACCCTAAGCAAGAACCAAAAAGGGTCCTTAAGCCTTGCTTATATCAATGCCAAAGGACGATCACAGGGTCTCGGCCGATTCTCTGACTCGCCCGAGGCCCGCGCCGCAACGACTCTCCGCCTCGCCGAGGCCCTCTCGCCCCGTAAGGCCTCGGACGGGTTACCAATTCTCCGATTCGCCCGAGGCCGGCTCGGCAACAACCTCGTCGCCTCCATCTCGACCAACTTCTCTAACAAAGCGTCGCGTCCAGTTAATGCGCCCAACCACTCCCGCAACGTCAGCCGCATGACGGCGCAGTACCGCAGAGTGACCGACGGGATGGGAGACAGGACTAAACAGGGATTACCTGCCACTGTGCTCAGCACTGTACCCATGACTGGCAGCCGTACTATGCTGTGCTACCTAATACCTGCTCCAGGAACAACGCGACGTGGGGAGTCCAGTTCGGGTCACTATAGTCTCGAAATCAGTGTATAGGACCAACTGCTCCCTTCGAGCCTCGGCAATCCACTTCAGGGGCTCGGCAGCCTCGGATTCACGCTCGCCGAGCCCCCCGCGACTGCTCGGCCTCGGCACCAACTGAGCCTCGGTTCTTTACACCGTCAACGCACAGCGACCAGCACGTCGTCGGCCATGGCCTGCCCCAGGCTATCACTGGAGCTCCCACATCGCACAAGATCGGGAGTGACCGGCGCGTTGCTCCAGTGAATCAAGGACAAGACCACTCCGTTGACCATGCCGCCACAGTAGCAAGCTACAGGGCTCAGGCACGCCGCCTCCGCTTGCAAGACCACTGCATAGCAAACGCATGTATCACCCCGGTCCTCCCTTCAACTATAAAAGGAGAGGCCGAGGCCGTTTCTAGAGAGGCGCGGACACACACGCACACACAGGCCCACAACGGGAGAAAGTCAGACGAACACCCGCATAGACTCACGCTCCCCCGCTGCCTGAGAGCAACGTCTCAAGCAGCCCGCACCACTTCACGCAGAGACCTGGGATCAGCTCCCTCTCTCGCCCAACTTGTAACCCCCTACTACAAGCACTTCGGTGCAAGTAATACAAGACCGATATCTCAGACTGGACGTAGGGCACCGATTGCCTGAACCAGTATACACCTTGTGTCTCTTTGCATCACCATCCGGGATTAGGGGCACGCGGTTCAAATTCACTGGTTGGTTGAGGACCCCCGGTCCGAAACACCGACACTATGCTAGCTCTGCCGGGTTGTGTCGGGTTGATCGTGTCAGGTAGCCCATGAACTGGTCTACATGTAAGTGAAAACTCCAGCCATATAGAAAATAAAAGTATTATCCAAAGTTTTAAAATTAGTACACTTAACATCTATTTAGAGATTGATGAAATCATCATAGATGGTTTGTTGTCGAGGGCATATCACTTACCACTTAAAAAATAGTGAGCACCCGTGTCAAGTCGATGACCTGAACTTAATAGACATTTTCCACCGCAAGAAACCCATTATCATTCATGTAATAAAAATTATAGTTAAATATAGGTCTTATTATTATGCTGTATAAGAAAACCAAAACAAAGCAGAAAAGCAAGAAGAAAAAAAGGATCACTATCGGATCCACATAAACCTCCTATGGGCATATGCTCCTCGCCATCCAGGCGGCACCAACATTTGTGCTAAATTTGGCTTGGTTTTCCATGTGCTCAAAACTCCACCGATCTCCACCGGAATACCTGACAGCTGGCCTTTACAAGTGTTCACACAAGCTGTAGCTGGCTCGTATTTTCTACGCTCAAATCAGTAGCCCTGCCTTTTTTTTTTTCAAGCCGGGCCCACATCCCGCGCGGCGAGCGCGTGCCCGGCGAGCTCTGCCTCCATGCCCATGGTGCGGTGCGAGTGCGAGTGAGCTAGCCGGGGCCAGGGCCCAGGCCATGGAGTCAACCAGTCAAACTCCCCCGGAGCCCCCAACCCGCGTACGCTAGCCGATCGATTAATTAGCCGTTAATTGTAATATAATAATCCCCAGTAATTAATCCACCACACACCACTCCATCTCCAGTCGGAAAAAAAAATCTTAATCGCCCCCGATTAATCCCTGAACTTTTGGCTTTAAAAGGGAAAGAAATCAAAAGGGATAAACTAACAGAAATGCTATACAGGTTGCGCCGTGCTCCCCCACATGCTGCTTTCTTTCCATCCAATTCCACCACCAGCCTACCTCCCCTCCTCCTGGCCGGCTCCGTCTGCGTCTCGTCTATATAAGGCCCGCCTCCTCCTCTCCCGCCCCACCTCATCGCACTCTTCTTCCTTCCTTCCTGACTTCTCCCGCCATCTCCTCCCAGCACAGCAGCAGCTGCGAGCTCTTCAAACTTGAATACACATACTAGTCAGCAGCCAGCAGTCCGCCGCTCATCAGCCGATCAACGTCTCAAGGGGATCGGAATCTGATGGACATGGCGCACGAGAAAGACGCGAGCAGCGAGGAGGAGGTGATGGCCGGCGAGCTGCGGCGCGGGCCGTGGACGGTGGAGGAGGACCTCCTGCTGGTCAACTACGTCGCCGCGCACGGCGAGGGCCGCTGGAACTCGCTCGCCCGATCAGCAGGTGGGAAGGATTTACTTATATACTCATCTGCTGGATCATATATATAGCTAATCATCATCAATTACATGATGATGTCGATCGAAGCGGCATCATCGTTAGTTCAGCACATGCACAATTCGTAGCCGCCTCGCCCTCGCTCATGGGTTCTATCCTATCACATCACCCACCGATCACCCAGATGCTTGGCTTACTTGCGTATCGTTTTCTTCTCCACGTTGCCGTACAAGCCTGAGCAATCGTGGAACACGAAGGGCTTTGGCAAAGCAGCTGTCACTTTGCATCTGGTACGTACATACTAATATGGAAACAGATAGCTGCCTAGGTAGGAGGCTAGGAGCCTAGCAGCCATCCAGACAACCGGAGCCTACAGTGAGTGAGAAAGAGAGACTTTTTAGTGGTTAGCATCATATCATTCCCGGCCGTTGGGATATTTACTTAACTCCCTGGCTTCCATTACATCACTTATCTTGTCATCACATACATGCTCTCATGTCTCATCTGCATAACTAATTAGCAGCTGCTAGCTTAGCTAGTTGGTGACATGTACGTAGTATATGCAATCAGCAGCAGCTAGCAATGGCGAGCGTGTGATATGATGATGACGTGTGGATCGGATTACTAATCTTGTGTGTTCAATTCGTTCCTGTGATGCAGGGCTGAAGCGCACTGGCAAGAGCTGCCGGCTCCGGTGGCTCAACTACCTCCGCCCCGACCTCCGGCGCGGCAACATCACACCGCAGGAGCAGCTGCTCATCCTGGAGCTGCACTCGCGCTGGGGCAACCGCTGGTCCAAGATCGCGCAGCACCTCCCGGGGCGCACCGACAACGAGATCAAGAACTACTGGCGCACGCGCGTGCAGAAGCACGCCAAGCAGCTCAAGTGCGACGTCAACAGCCAGCAGTTCAAGGACGTCATGCGCTACCTCTGGATGCCCCGCCTCGTCGAGCGCATCCAGGCCGCCGCCGCCAACGCCAACGCCTCCGGGGCTCCGCAGCAGCAGCAGCAGCAGCATGGCGCCGCCGCGGACACGCCGCTCTCGTCGTCGTGGCAGCACGGCGGCGCCGACGACGGGCTCTACGCGTCGCCGGATGAGCTGCCCACGGACGCCTGCAGCTGGCCTCCGGGAGACTACTACCCAGCCGCCGTCGGTGATCACCAACTACTGAACAACCCCGCCGTCGGCCCGGAGCTGTCGAGCACCACGGCCGGGTCGTCCTCCCCGTCCTCGGATTCCGGCGCGGGGGCACAGCCCTGCTGGCTTGCGCCGGTCGGTGGCGCGGAGTGCTTCACCACCGCCTGCGACGCCTCCAGCGCCGCCGCCGTCCTGGCCGGGCAGCAGCAGCAGCAATCGTCGTGCCTGCTCGGGGAGACGACGACGTGGGCGTCGTCCGAGCTCCCCGAGCTGGGCGTCGCGGACTTCGAGATTGGCAGCTTCGACGTGGAGAGCATCTGGAGCATGGACGACAACTTGTGGTTCACGCAGGCGCAGGGCGTGTAAATCCAAGGCAAGCCACCGCGCACGCGCGCGGCGACATGGAAATCCACGGCATCATATCGGCGGTGGATCGAACACCCGCGTCGATCGGACACGTCGGGGGCGCCGCCTAGCAGAGGAGCAGAGCTAGCTGAGGCACGGATTAGAAGAAGGAGAGAGATTATTTGGAGGAATCGAAGACGACGGCGTACACTACTCTTTGTTCCTCTTTGTTCGGTTCAAGATGCTGTTCTTGGCCGCCGGGACTATTCTTCCACTCCAGTTCTACTCCGTTTCTTAGATTTATTTTCTTTTGTCTTAATTCCCTAGCGGCTAGTAGGGTATATACGCAAAAAAAGAAATTAAAAGTCCAGGAAAAAAACGTAGCTGTTGTAGTAGTGTATACTACTAGTATCAAGTGTTTGTACGTGGCCCGTCTAATTTTACTCATTCTTTTTGAGTAAATACATGATATATATGAACAACTGAAATCGTTACTGATGATAAACTCTTTGGAGGGATATATAGCACGAAGAAGTTATAACGAACTGAAGTTACTGATGATTTGACTACTTCTAGAAGCGAAGGACGAAGCGATAAGAAGATGAGAGTGAGTTCCGACGTCAAGTCGAAGTCGCCTACAAGTACTACTGGAGGGTCCAGCATACGTACGCCCCCGCCAAATTCTCGCCGCTAATTGTGATCCTCATGCGCCCCTCTCGGGTCTCAGTGGCCATCGATTAATTCTCCTTTCCGTTTCTGTTGAAGTGGTGTTGGTTTAGTTATCACCATGATGATTATACCCGACGGCGACTGCGCGACTGATGATCCATTTGTTTATATGCCGACATGGATGTGTGCTTCATTCCGCCTCAGATTATATATCACGGCATCATATCTATGAAGCGAGGGAGGGACGGAGCCGTCGCGTCACGCTAGTAGGAGTTTTTTATCTTAGTTTTCAACACACCTATATTTTAGAAAAAAAATATATAAAAAATTTAATTTTATGAAACTCTCTCTACTCCCATAAAATTTTTATCATTTCTCTCTTCACCAATCCAGTAACCTCCACTGGGATTGGCCTCAACGTTAGTACCATGTCAACATATTTAATGCTCATAGAACTTCATAGAACCTCCACTGGAATTGGCCTCAGCGCCAACAGTTCCCGGTAGTGTCGCGGGATGCGATCGACAGGCCCGACGGCATAACACGTGTTGTTTTCGCAGCAATTATGCTATATTGTGCCTCGTCGATTGAAGAAAATAATTCTTCTCCACATCTGGTCCTCTTGTTTTTCTTTTGTTCCACTTTGTTCTTCTTAAATATGGAAAAGAAATAAACTGAATCGGTTAAAACAATTCTTCCTCACCCCCTAATTTTAGTTACTGTCTTCTGGATTTACACTAGATTTTACTAGAGTTGCATCTACTATTTTGAAGTAATTTCAAGATAAAATGTGGTGTGTAACTAAAATTTCTGATGTAGGGAAGGAACATTTCGCCCGATTCCTACAATACAATCTAGGTGTGACACTCTTCTAAAACATCTGATCTTTTTTTTTCTGTAACATGTTCACAAAATAAAATCAGGTGTAGGAATTATCTTTTTCACCTGAGCATGGGGTAGACAATGCCTTTTGCAGCTCGTGATGACGAGAGCATGCAGAGATGAGTTCGCGGTCGCTGATGAGCACCCTGGCGATAGCAGATTATTACTAGCAGTGCAAAAGCTACTAACGACATGGGCACGCGAATGTGTGATCGACGAGCTGCAGCAACAACGACGCCACGACGGCGATGGTAACGCTTGCATGCAGCAGCTCTGTGCGGGTCCGTACTCCGCGTCGGATAGAATCATCGGTAGGAAAAAGAGCACAGCTGCACAAGTGAAAAGAGGCGGGGCCCGCTGCCCAGCTGGGCCGCCGGGCATTTCAGCAGCTCTGGGTCTCTCTTTCGGGGTCTATTTTCACACCGTCGTTTAAGCTTATCCGTCGACTTATCAGTTAAAATTTATAGTATTTTTCTCTCATAACAAAACAGCTGCAGTCGGTTTTAATGCTAGCCGAACAAGCATGTATGTATGTACTCCGTATATATGTATTTTTTCCATCCTTTTCTGGGAGGAAAGAAAATGAGTGACAGAAAGAAAAACGTAAGAGAAGGCGGCGTGGCCTGCGAAAAGCGCCCCCCGCGCGATTGTCGTGCCCCGGCCGACCTGAGCTCAGCTCCACTTGCAACTGTCAGCTTCTACCGGTCCATCGGTAAAACAGCGGGCGTCCCTGATGCTGTTAAGGAGGCAGGGCAGCACTACGGTGCCACGAGGGAAGACTCGGTGCTACGCCCTACGTACGCCGACGCGGCGGTGAATGTATACGGAGACAGGGGACTCCACTGCGAGCAGAAGATCCCCGGCGGCGCGGTGGTCTGATGTTGACGATTTGCAAAATAACTTCATGATCAGCTCTCTACATAAAGCAGAGTTGTTTTAAAAAAATTGGTTGGCAAAACAATTTCACACCAAACCAGTTTCACTGGGAACAATTACTATAATACCCTTAGCCTTTTCTTTTTCTCGTCTTCTTCCTACGCATCGCAACGACTGCTGCGACGAGCCACCACGGCGGCGCCCATCACGTCGGCCCGTGCCCCCGGCGGCACCCCTCACGGCAGCTCGCGCCCCACCCCCCAGGGCGGCCTCTCCCGGTGGCCCGCGCCCCACCCCCCAGGGCGGCCTCGCCCGGCCAACGCTGCGCCTGCGAGCGCCCCCGGCAGCCGCGCCAGCGGCTTCCTCTGCGGCCGCACTCGCCCTGTGCCCCCGGTGGCCGCGGCAGCTCGCGCCCCAGCGGTGGCCGCACTGGTAGCCCCGGGCACCAGAGGCGCTCGTGAGCTCCGGCGACCGCGGCTCGCCTTCCCTCCGTCCACGACTTCGAGCCTACTGCTCTCCCTGTTCCAAAGATGGATGCCAAAGCTCTCGCCTTTGATGTTCTCCACCTTGGCCTTCACCCACCTCGTCTTTCCTATCCTTGGGTGCAACGAGCAGTCCGCCAATCTTACTCCAGTGCACGGGGTAGAAGGCCCGCGGCGGCAGCACCGTGATGGCGAGATCGGGAATCTCGTGGCGTAGCCTCGCCGCCACCCAGGACACAAGGTACGGCCGTTGTGGCCCCACTTGCTCCCGTCGAACGCGGTGGCGAACTCGGCGATGAACTCGTGCAGCATGGGTGCGCCCTGTCGAACACCATCACGGCGTTGTTCAGTCGCCTCCAGTCGCCCGTGGCGTCGTCCACGGCCTGCGCTCCAATGGCGTTGCGGAGGTCGGAGAGCGGCCTGAGGACGACGACGTCAGCGTCGAGGTAGATGCCGCCGTACCTGTAGAGCAGCGCGAGGCGGAGGAGGTTGGAGAGGTTCTGCCTGAGCGGGACGCTCCCGAGGCTGACGCCGCCCTGCTGGACAGCGCCTGCGAGCGCTCCCGGCAGCCGCGCCAGCAGCTTCCCCGGTGGCCGCGCTTGCCTCGTGCCCCCCGCGACCACGGCAGCTCGCGCTCGAGCGGTGGCCACACTGGTAACCGCGGGCACCGGCCGCGCTCGCGAGCTCCGGCGACCGCGGCTCGCCTTCCCCTCCGTCCACGACTTCGATCGACCGCGTCCCGGCAGCTCCCGGGCGCGCTCACGACTGCGCATCCCGGACGCGCCCAGCAGCTGCCGGCGGCCGCGCTGCCCGCGCCCCGGCGAACCGCTCGCACGCGTCGGTCCTCCCCACGCATCCCCCGGTGGGCGCGAGCCTGCGTAGTCTTTTTTTTCAGGCTGGGCCCACATGTGTCATGTGAAGCTAGAATAAACTACATTTTTCAGGTCTCTTCCATCCCATTTCTTTGTAAGAGAAGAAAAAAAAACAACTTAACCTGTGAGCTGCTGTCAGCTGTGCCAAACAAGCCCGTACTCGTATCAGCTGGCGAGCACGACGATGCGGCGGTGGGGAGGGCGGGCCCTCGTTCGAGCGAGAGCCACGTCGGTCACGGGTCAAGCAAGCCGCCGCAAGCGCCCGCGCGCGCGGGGCCGGGGGTCGAGCTGAGGCCCAACTGAAGGCCAACTTGGCAACTAGGGCCACTGGCCGTCTGGCCCCGAGGCAGACCGCGGGTTGTGAACGGGTCAACCGTCAACGGCGCCCGGCGGACTCGAGCAAGACCCTCGTGCCGATATGCATGGCATGGCAAGGGGCGCTGCCTTTTCTCCTCGCGCTCTTTCACACCGGCGCGTGCCGGGGCGGCTTTTCCCCGGGTTCCTACTTCTTCCTATTGGCCGGGCCGCCCTCGCTGCGTTCACTCTCTCGTGGACGCTAACATCGATCGACAAGTGCTCGTGTTCCGCTACTGCCCAGTGGATGGGATGGCTACTGGATATTACTCCTCACCTGTATTGATTTTCCACTGGCACTGAATTTAACACTCCAAACTCGTGCTATGTGTACGGGCTAAAATTGAGGCTTGTGGATAAATTTATTTATGATCAAGTACTGTACGGGGCACTAAGCTTGAGCCCCATATATATGTAGCTCAAGTTTGTGGCGTAACAAAACAACAAAGTAAGATGTAGCTTGCAGATCACTGACGATGGATTAGAAGTTCATAACAACTACTCTCTCTATCTCAAAATAACTGTCATTCTCGCTTCCTAAGGAGTCAATCTCTTTTAACTTTGACCAAATATATATAACAAAATATTAATATTTATAGTATATAATTAGTATCATTAGATAGTTTGTTCAATCTATTTTTCATAATAAACTTATTTGTGCCCTCTTAATGAAAAACAGGCTCACTTGAGCGTGGTCGCGAAAAATAATAAACTTATTTAGAGATACAAATGTCGCTAATATTTACTATAAATCTAGTCAAAGTTAAGAATGTCTGACTAGCACGGAACCCAAAACGTCACTTATTTTAGAACGTAGGGAGGGAGTACTTATTTAAGAGCTGGACAGGTTTTACGGCGGAACATAGGCTTGTTCCGCTGGTATTAAAGCCGGCTGATAAGCCGGTTGAAGCTGTTTTATTCTGAGAGAAAAAATATTGTAGATTCTAGCTGATAAACCGGCTGATAAGTTAAAGCGAACAGGCCCTATATATTCCACGAGAATTGAATGGCACAGTAGCCGTTTAAATTGCGCAGGCCACTCCACTGACAAAGATTACCTGTGAGGACTTTGACGGTGCTCGATCAGTGCTTTCAGTACAGAGAGATTACTGTGACGTATACGCGGTTGTAAGATTCGGTTATCTTACCCGCTTGCTCTAGTCTACGCCATGTTCGATAGGACTGAAAAATAAGCTAAAATACTGTTCCGGCTGATTATTGTAAATAAAAAATACTGCTCTATCTAAAAACATTGTTCACGTGAACAGTGCCACCGTGAGAGCGCTGGCTAGCCCAACCCAGCCGGCCAGCCAGCCAGCCGAACGCGGCCTTAGTCTATATATATGCGTCAAACAAGCCAACTGATGCTGAGCTCAATAGGCATGTCGCCTCGTGACTCACTAGCTAATGAACAAGAGTTTGCATCTTGTTTGTTTGGGCTTGTTTGGCTTATAAACCATGGTTGAAAATATTGTTGGCTGATTTGGTGTGAGAGAAAAATACTATTCGTTGGCTGATAAGTCCATGGCTTATAAGCCAAATACGACCGAACGAACAAGTTATTGGTTCCCACTGACACCTGCTGGTTAAGTGGCCATGTTCTGTTGTTAATTCTTAATTCCTGTTAGCAATTACTTTGACTTTTAAAAAAAGGGAAATAAAATCTTCTCTGTTGTTTCAACCCGTGCTCACTACAAGAGAAACCCCCTTTAGCAACGGATACATAGTGACACATAATTTATTCATTGCATGGTATAATGTCGCAACGATTACTAACTGTTTGAAGCTGCATCCGTTACTGCTAGGCAAAGTAATCTGTATTCTCGCGAAGTGATCTGTATCCTGTACGCAAATACTACCTCTAGTCCAATACTCCTCCGGCCGTGCCTTCTTAAAATCAAATGTTAATTACGACAAAAACAATTGCATTTCCGGTTCGAACCGGAACCTCCCGCAAGGCCACGCCTTGTTACCCAATAACTAGCTAAGCAATCAATCATTTGTGTTGGCCCGCCTCACAATTCTTTTACAAATAGGACACAAAGCATATAAGCCCACGACGTGACAACCCCTCTCCCATCCAGTACGCATGCAAATCCAAAAATTTAAAAAATATGTTTGATATAAATCGGGAAATTGGAAATTAAAAAAATGAAAATCCAATTTTCTTAAAAAAATATGTTTGACATATAAGATTTGAACTCATGACCCTAATTACCAATAGCATCTTCCTACCACTACACTACACATTCACTTATGAATATTTATAAGATTCCGTCACTTTGTATGAATATTTCATAATCTTGAATAGAATATTATGAGACAATTAATGATTTCAAATGAAAAAAGTTTTGACTTCAAAGTTCTAGATCTTGTGGTGATCTACAAGATAGTTTAAAAATTCAAAAATTTAAATCTCAAAAGACTTTTCAAAGCCTTGAGGGGGATATCTTAAGAAGTCCATCTCCGTTAATCAGTTAAAAGAGGTGATCATTTTAGTAGACTTCTCGAGCCTCTGTTAATAGTCGACTAACGGAGACATCCCTTGAGAATCCATGCCTCAGAAAATGATTGATAGAGGCGAGCTTTTGCCTAGAGCCCTCCCGACCATTACAAAATGCTTCCATGTTTTAGTCATGGGGTTTATCTCCTAATTTTTTTTTTCTATAGTAGTGTTATCAACTATGAGATAACTAATAATTATACAATTTAAAAAACTTTGAATACAAAATTAGATCCGATCCCTTAACTTATTAGGGGACAAGTTTGGTTTCTTGCCAAATGTTGTCACGCCATAGCTTATATATGCGCGGGTCGGCTTGTTATCCTAATGAGCTAGAAGTCTGGCTCATTTGGTTCATGAGCCAGAGAAAAAACACCATTGTTGTTGTCGGTTGACTTGCCGGTGCCTCAATGATAACTTGCAGCCATGGAAGATGCTTCTCTTGCACTTCAACTTCATCCATCGGTCTAACAAATTATGAGTATCTTGTCCAGCCTCATGTCATAGACACATTTTCAAGCCAAACTTTGCAACAGTTCAGGATACACTACTATAGCCGGCCTTTTTAGGGGCGGCTTATAAGCATTTGTAGGGGCGGTTTTGATAGCCGTCCCTACCACAGCATTGCTACAAATCGCTGATTTATAGGGGCGGTTGGCCAGCCGTCCCTACAAATACGATTTGTAGGGGCGGCTAAAGATCTGTAGGGGTTTCCAGAATTGACGAATCTAAACCCAAAAAGATCTGTAGGGGTTTCCAGAATTGACGAATCTAAACCCAAAAAATAGCACTGCACCTCCCCCTCACGTGAAAAATTTTGTGCACTTTCACGGCCGGTGGGATTTGAACCCGCGGCCTCCCCCTCGCGTGTACTCTCCTCTACCATTGCACCTCAAACACACTTGTATCTATATTGGATTTTGGTTCCCCACGTATTAGCTTAACCTGAGTTTAAATTGATTGTTTGAGGCCCTAAATGAATTCATATGAAACATTTGAATATATAAATTTAACATAATCTTTTGGTCTGGCTCCCGCCATTCTTTCCTCTATGTAATAGTAATGTTAATTCAACTTAGTAAACTATTTTATATATATTTATTTTTTGCTCCCGTGGTTCCTTCCCTCCATATTTTTTTCATTTCTTATATATGTTCTTTTCTCCCACATCACAGTTAATCTGATTTCCCACACTCCATGCTAATTGTTGGGAACTCTAATAGTGTCCCCACCTTTCATAGAGACTGGCTAGAGGAAACCGTGTCAAACAGCATGAGAACTGTCCCCCTAATTGTGGATCTCGTCAACTCTCTGTTGATAATTGTAGTTCCTTTTCTGTTTTCTCTCATCACACAACTCCCATACCTCCCATCTCCCACATCTTCCCTACTGCGAACAGGGTGGGCAGGACGCCGCTGCCTGGCTGCCTTGTGAGGCAGATTGCGTGAAGCCGGGCGGGTCCACCGTCGCCGGGGCTGGCAGGGCGGGGTGCACGCCGGTCCACAACTTCCCAACCACTGCTGCCACCACGGCTCCCTCCACCGCGAGCAACGGTATCACGCGCCGGCGCCGGCGCTGGCAACAACGTCAATTTTCCCTCCGGCCTTCGCTCGGCCCCAGACCACACCTCGAGGATGCCACTAGCGACGGCGCCCAGGTTCTAACCTTTTCTTCCCCACACCTATCCTCACCAGCGCCACGCCTCTCTTCACATGGCGTGACCACCAGGCTCCCTCCGACCTGGTGCCGGTGAGATCCACTGCCGCAAGGTCCAGGAGCCCATGTTTCACTACCTGCTCTAGGGCGAGCCGCTTCTCTACTTCCTACAAAAAATGTCGCCGTCCTTTGCTGTCTTATTTTTATTTCATTCTGTTGTGGTGTGCCACGAGGAGCAGGCCGCAAGCACGGAGACCTCGGAGGCACGGATCCAGAGGGCGCCCACGGGCTGGCTCAACAGGCTGACGCCACCGCAGCCCCCGTGAAAGCTCTAGTTTGGTTTTGGTGAATTGATGAAACCCTAGGTGCTAACCCTTTGCTCTAAGTG